GGCTCCAGTCAAAAAGACAAACAATAAATGTTGCCAAGAATGTGGAGAAATTGGAACCCTCATATACTGCTGGTGGTAATGGTGCAGATACTTTGGGAAAGACCGTAGCAGTTCCTCAAAAGGTTTAACACAGCCCTGATTGGTTTGGCTCAGTGGATAGAGCGTCGGCCTGCGGACTCAAGGGTCCCAGGGTCAATTCTGGTCAGGGGCATGTACCTTGGTTGCGGGCACATCCCCAGTGGGGATTGTGCGGGAGGCAGCTGATCGATGTTTCTAACTCTCTATCCTTCTCCCTTCCTCTCTGTAAAAAAATCAATAAAATGTATTTTTTAAAAAAAGGTTTAACACATGACCAGCAATTCTACTCCTAGTTTATATCCCCAAGAGAATTCATAATAACCAAAAAGTGGAAACAACACAAATGTCGATCAACTGATGACAAATGTGCTATATCTATATAATGGGACATTATTCAGTAATAAAAAGAAATGCAGAACTGCCACATGTTACAACATTGATGAACCTCAGGAACATTATTGTAAGTAATAGAAGCCAGATGTAAAAGACCAAATAGTGTATGATCCTGTTTATACAACGTGAATTATTGCACAACAAAAAAATAATCTGGAAATTCCTCCCTCTGGAGGAATTGTCATTTCTTCTGCATATGTTTGACTTATTTTTTTTCTTTCTCAAGTTTTATTTTTAGGGACTGCATTACCTTTTTATGTTTTTATTTTTATGTTTTAGGCCCCTGGTTTGATATGTACTTAACTGCTCGAGACCCCATTGTCTTGAACTTTAATCCATTTATGTCATTCAACCCTGACCCAAAGTCTGAGTATAATGACCAGCTCACCCGGGCGACCAACATGACGGTTTCTGCCATCCGGTTTCTGAAGACACTCCCGGCTGGCCTTTTGGAACCAGAAGTGTTCCACTTGAACCCTGCCAAGAGTGACACTGATACCTTCAAGAAGCTCATACGCTTTGTGCCTTCCTCTCTGTCTTGGTATGGTGCCTACTTGGTCAATGCATATCCACTGGATATGTCTCAGTATTTTCGGCTTTTCAATTCAACTCGTTTACCCAGACCCAGCCGGGATGAACTCTTCACTGATGACAAGGCCAGACACCTCCTGGTCCTAAGAAAAGGACATTTCTATGTCTTTGATGTCCTGGATCAAAATGGCAACATTGTGAGCGCCTCTGAAATCCAGGCTCATCTGAAGTACATTCTCTCAGACAATAGCCCTGCCCCCGAGTTCCCACTGGCATATCTGCCCAGTGAGAACCGAGATATCTGGGCAGAGCTCAGGCAGAAGCTGGTGAGTGCTGGCAACGAGGAGACCCTGAGGAAAGTGGACTCTGCTGTGTTCTGTCTCTGCCTCGACTTCCCCATTGAGCACCTTGTCCACTTGGATGAGATACTTCAGTTACCTATAACATGAGGGTTATAATAGTACTAGAGGCCCAGGGCACAAAATTTGAGCACTGGAAGGGGGTGGTCCCCTCAGCCTGGCCTGTGTCCTCTCGCAGTCCAGGACCTACGCTGGCAGTCGGACATCCCCCTCGCAGTCCAGGACCCCTCGCTCCTTACTACCCACCTGCTCACTGCTCCTTACCACTCAGCTCGCTGCTCCTTAGCCCTGCCACGGAGGTGGGAGACCCTGAGGAAAGTGGACTCTGCTGTGTTCTGTCTCTGCCTCGATGACTTCCCCATTAAGGACCTTATCCACTTGTCCCACACCATGCTGCATGGCGACGGCACAAACCGCTGGTATGATAAATCCTTTAACCTCATTATAGCCAAGGACGGCACTGCCGCTGTCCATTTTGAGCATGCTTGGGGCGATGGGGTTGCAGTGCTCAGGTTTTTCAATGAGGTGTTTAAAGACAGCACTCAGGCCCCCGCCATCACTCCACAGAGCCAGCCGGCCAGCACTGACTCCTCTGCTGCTGTGCAGAAGCTCAGCTTCAAGCTGAACGATGCCTTAAAGACTGGCATCATTGCTGCTAAGGAAAAGTTTGATGCCACCATGAAAACCCTCACCATTGACTGCATCCAGTTTCAGAGAGGAGGAAAAGAATTCTTGAAGAAGCAGAAGCTGAGCCCTGACTCGGTGGCTCAGCTGGCCTTCCAGATGGCCTTTCTGCGGCAGTATGGGCAGACGGTGGCCACCTACGAGTCCTGCAGCACTGCAGCGTTCAAGCACGGCCGCACCGAGACCATCCGCCCTGCCTCCATCTTCACAAAGAGGTGCTCCGAGGCCTTTGTCAGGGAACCTTCCAAGCACAGTGCTGGAGAGCTTAAGCAGATGATGGCCGAGTGCTCCAGATACCACGGGCAGCTGACCAAAGAAGCGGCCATGGGTGAGACGGGGCGCATGTCCTTGGGTCTTGTAGCCCTCTGCACTGGGGTAGGCCTCCAGAATATTCTACCCCACATCTGATTTCTACCTCTTCACTAGATTGTAGCCATCTGCCAGCTACCACATGATTATTTTTTCTACCCTAATAGTCTGAATAGCCAGGCGAGCCACTGGGGATCAGAATGTTCTCCTAAGCAGGGATGGGGAAATACATCTAACATTATCCTCAATGAAGATCACTTTCAGCTGTGACACATGATTCTATTATTTATTAGCCATTAGACTCAGTGTGACAATTAGGATTTCTAAGCCCACAGGCCCTCTTACTTCATCTCAGGTGTAGTGTGTCGGCTCCTTGTAAATAGGTCACCTTAGCTTTCCCCAAATCTAAGTGTCTGTCTGCTTTGCCTCGTTGTGGCAAAAATTGAGACCTGGAAAGGACCTGGAGGATCACATAATCCAATCCTCTCATGCAGAAAAAGTCCTGGAACTAAAAGGGACCTCCATGACATTCTGGTCTCATCCTTCCCCATTTTATAGGCAGGCAACTGAGGCCGCTGGCCCAAGCTTACATAGCAAATTAGCAGTAAAGATGCGATGAGAACTTTGTTTTGTTCCACTGACTCATTGTCTTTGACACTTGACTTGGACTGTGTCTTTTACCTGTTTTTGCGTCCAGAGCTCTCATGTACTTTTCTTGACTAAATTGACTTAGTTTCAGACTTTGTAAAATCATACTTTTATTTTAGGCTCATTTTTGACTCAGCTGTTGAGTTTTTTCTTAAGAAAACATTCTAGAATGAACTGCTCCAGAAGCTAGTGAGCTGGAGGTGTGCATGCAGAGGTAGACGACCCTCTTCCACTCTCAAGGATGTTGCGAAGGGGATTCCTACATGGTGGGAAGGTTTACTGAGGTTCTTTCAGTTCTGCGATTTTGACTGTTTTTCTCTCTCACAGGCCAGGGTTTTGACCGACACTTATTTGCTCTGCGGTACCTGACAGCAGCCAAAGGGATTGCCCTGCCTGAGCTGTATCTGGACCCTGCATATGGGCAGATAAACCACAACATCCTGTCCACTAGCACACTGACCAGCCCAGCAGTGAACATTGGTGGCTTTGCCCCCGTGGTCCCTGATGGCTTTGGTGTTGGGTATGCTGTTCATGACAACTGGATAGGCTGCAACGTCTCCTCCTACACAAGCCGCAATTCTCGGGAGTTTCTCCAATGTGTGCAGAAAGCCTTGGAAGACATGTTTGATGCCATGGAAGGCAAATCCATCAAAACTTAGCTTCTGGGCGGGTTAAAAGCCTCCACTGCTTCATCTACATGAAAATTGAGGCCTATGTAGCCAATAGGTGCTATTCTGTGACTATTGGAACTAATCAGCGGCCAATGTGAAGCCTGAGGTTTAAAATCATGGTTTTAAAACTAAACATGTAATTTCCAAGTGCAATTAGATCACAATGAAAGATAATATGAGATTTCAATTTTAAGGGCATTTGATCAGGAGGGGAGGATTTGGAAAAATAACTCAGGTGTATTTATTGTTGAAGCAGAAATAAAATTTAATTGTTGCATCGACTGACATAATCTACTTTATTTTTCCCTTTTAATTAATAATTTTTTTTTGGATTCTTTTACCTCCTGAAAGATGAGAAAGCAATTTAAAGTATAAACAAAAGCTATTGATCCTCTTAGTGTTTGTCTTTATGAACTTAACACACTGGCTGGTAGAGACTGAAACTGGAAAGGCTGCTTCCCCAGCCCATTACTTCCACTGACTTGCTTTCAGGCCGGGCAGTGGACTGGACCTAGTGGGTAGGGGGCTAGACGGCCTGCTGGCTTAGCGAGGGCTGAAGAAAGGCTGTTGTCAGGTACAAAAAAGAGGCCGAGGGAGCCAGGAATATCCGACCTAGACGAAACAAGTAGCTGCCAGACTGGGGAGGGGACAAGGTCAGCACCTCTTCACCTCTTGGATGCAGCCACCTTTCCCTTAAATTGGAGGATCCCCCTACCTAGTGCCCACAACCTACCAGGAGTGGGCAGACCCATCCCCAGTGGGCCATTCAGAAAATGAAGATATTTCACTTAAGAATTCCTGACTCCAGTAGAACACTGGATAAATAAGGTTTCTTGTAACAAGTTTTCCAAATGGCTCACTGGTGGGAAGGCATGAGTATGCCTCGTGGACCTAACTGCATTAAACAGCTCTGTCCACTGGGTAGGGGCTCTTCATACCTCCACAGGGCTGCCTGGGGGACAGCACACAGAAGGGCGACCACAGCGGGGACAAAACAGGACCAGGAGCTACCTGGGGCATAGATGCTGACTGAATATAAGAACTTTCATAGTGACTTCCGTGTGGCAGGTGAGCCGAGACCTAATGACCACCTGGCCAGAATTTGAGAGCAGAACCTTGCCAGGACTGGACGGCTGACCTCTACAGTCCCTTTTATCCCTAGAATATGAAGTGACACCAGCTAACAGGGATGCCTGCATTTACTTAAGAGCCACGCTAATCAATGCAGTGTTTTGGCTCAGGATTATTGGCTCATGGTATCATGCTATAGGCTCAGCTGCATTGCATACTATTGGCCTTGACACCTCTGGTTTTCTGGGTTGATGCGCCCACTCCTCATGGCTAGAGAGCCCTTAGCAGCTGTGTGCTCCTGCATAGTTTGCAAAGCATCAGGTGTAAGATTCTATATTGTGGGAAGGTGTCAGGAAACAGTATAAGACCTCTAATACGGATTCTCATTTGTTGGGGGTGTGGCTGCTACCTGACTCTACCTCAGTGCATGAGTACAGCACAAACAGGCTTTATTGGTGGGGCCTGGGAAGCTGTGACAGCCCAGCATGCAGACTGTGAGGGCTTGGACAGCTGCCAGGAGACAAGGGATGAGGGACCAGCTTCAGTGGGCTCTGCTGCTTGGTTGTCCCTTCTCAGTTCTTAGAGGCAAGTGTACAGGAAGAGGGCTCAGCACTTCACAAACTGGTGGGCGACCTCGTAAATTCCCACAGACTCCTGGGCCTTTTCGTCATAGTCAGTCCAGTCCTGTGGGGGAAAATGGCAGCGTTAGCCTCGCGAGGCAGCCTAGGACAGTGTGGAGTGGGGAACTGCGATTTACAAGGCCCAGTTCAGGATATGGCCCAGCCGTTCATGAACACGTATCACCTAGAACAGAGCCAGGCTGTTCAGGCCTGAATTCCAGCTCTTCTAGCTTTGTGATTTTGGCCAGTCACTTAACCATTCTGATCATCAGAGCTATTCTCTATTTTTTTAAAAAAGGGACAATACACTTCATGTTGAAAGAATCAAATGAGGTAACACATGTAAAAGTACTTAGTATAGTGCCGGATACACATTAAAGCTCAATAAATTCTAGTTACTGTTGTTATTACGTGCTGTACAAATTGAATGAAGTTTTGTCCTTCCTTTGAGGCCTGAACACAAGGTTTCCTTATCTGCAAGGCATTACTATGTCCAGTGATACAGTCAAGTCTCATTGTGGTAGTTATGTTCTATAAAGTCACCACAATGCTGACTTAGTGAATAATGAACTAATGCTCCCAGGAAAAACACAGGGTTAAACTCATGGGAGTTTACATCTGATCACAACACTGTTTTCAACCAATCAATACATAACCTTGTTTCATGTATGATTCTGTTTAAAAACACCTTTTTAATATACTATTGTTGATTCATTAAAATTGACCTCACAGCCAAGAGCATTATAACTTTTGCCTGAACAAAGCTTATCTATTATAGACTTTCTCTAGCAGGCACATCACAGCCTTCATGCAAGTGGAACACTTGGTGGAACTTCAGCGTTACCCTTGGGGCCATCTTATACACCAAAACCAACAACAAAATGCACAAAGATGTGCAGTCAGCTTTCCATTGATGAGTCTTGTTCACCATAAAAGATAATTTCCACCACGTGCCCTACACCCTGGAAGGCCCCCAAGTACCGTACCTTCTCCTGCAGATTAATGTCACTGAAGATTGTCCTCGATTCTACACCCTCAGCAGCAAACCCAGCCTGCAAGAGACAGGCAGGCAGTGAGTCTGAGGGGAAGGAGCCTGACCAGCGAACTGGCTTTTCTCACAACAGTTGGGAAGAGAGCACAGAGATGCACTGTTGGCAGCTGTTCTGCAATAACCACTAAGCTTCCAGGGCCTGGCAGCTGCCTGGGCCTAGAGTGGTTCCTCCAATTACAGCCTTAGATCAGAAGGCAGGAGCTGCAGGGTAAACCCTTCCACTACCAGACTGTCTGAAAGACATTCAAAGCTATAAAGGCTCAGATCACCCAAATGGTCCCAAGTACACTTAGCTGCAACCTTTTGCTAACCATCTGCCAGCTGGGCATGTCGCTTCCCTCTCTGGAACTTGGTTTTCGTATTTATGAAACGGGGATGGTAATATTCTCTCTTCTGCCTATCTCACAGACTTGTGAGGTGAAAATGTCGCTCCAATAAAGTGGGATGAGCACTGACTCTGGAGTCAGAGAGACCTGCGTTCAAATTACAGCTCCCCTGCTTTCTAACTGTGTCACCCTGGGCAAGTTGCAAAACTTTGAAATTCTTTCCTTGTCTGAAAAACAGTACGGATAACTGCACAGGGTGACTGGGAGGGTTAAATAAGATAGACATGTAAAACTGACCAGCATGGTGTCCAACATATAGTAGCACTTAAATAATAATAATAATAATTCTTACAATGGAGAATTCCTAGTTCATGGTCTCTGTAGGAAGCCAAGTTCTGCTATTACCTCCTATATGCCCTCCCCAAAGATACAGGTTTCCCAGGAAGACACACACCTGGGGTTGGAAATCAACTGGTTCAAGGCCCCGGCACTCAAACTCTACTATCGTCTTGAACTTCTCATTGTCTTCAACCTAGAAAGGAAAATATATTGAGGAGGCAGGCCCAAATGGGCCCTCAGGATAACCCCATTGCCCCTACCCTTCCTGCCAAGCAGGTCCTTACTGCCCCTGTGAGCCCAGAATGGGACTTGGGATCAAATCACCTCCTTCTGGTAGAAGCCTGCCTTAGCCACCTGCTCCCCACAAGACCCTGGACATGGATGCTACAGTACAAAGAGTGTGGACTCTGGGGTCAGCCTGCCTAGATGGGAGGCAGAGCTCTGTCTTATTCCCTTCTGGGCCTGAGACTATCAAATAGAGGTGAGGAACCACTACAGATTTATTGTGAGAACTTGAAATATGTGTATAAAGTACCCAGCAGAGTATCCAACACTATACTCAGTAACTAGTAGGTAAAATTACCAACATCACAATACGAACAAAAATGTTAAGCTACAAAGTCTCCAGATCATCTAAACGGCCTTTTGCTAAGCACCTGCCATGCTGTGAAGGCAGGGGGCCGACTTAAAGCCTTTGAAATGAGATTTGCTTGTAAAGAGGCACCTATGACCGAGGTGGTGTAGCCAGGAAATTCATGCCTACCTGACCCAAGGGCCCAGAGACCCCAAGCACCATGCCTACACGTTCGCTCTCATTCTGTCACTCACTCTAAAAGCATTTCCTGCACACCAACCATGTGTGCGGGCCCTAGTTTGTTTTTTGTTTGCTAATCTATCTCTTCCACCAGATTATGATTTACTTAAGGTGGTGTAGCCAGGCAATTCTTAAAGGCAAGTCCTCGTTTGATTTCTCTTTAACTTCAGGACAAAGCTGAAGTTTGGCATGAATCTGACGTTTTTCAAAAATACCAAATAAGGAATGGATAAACAGAAGTTAAATGCCCTTCTTTAAATACACAGACCCAAAGCACACACACCCTCCCTCCCCTTTGAACTAATTTGTTATACAGTAATGAATAACTACCTAATAATATGGACAATGTCAAGGATGGAAGGGACCATTTACAGGACTCTCTCCCCATGGTCTCAGAGAAGGCTCACCTGCTAAGATGTAGATAAGGCAAATGCTCCCAGTGATGGAAACTGAATGGCCAGCTTGATCAGAAGTCCCCTGAGCTCCCACAGCCCAGCACTTACTAGTGTAACTCTAGAACCCAGGCCTCCTAGCTTGGATTTAACCCCACCATGCCTGCCACTACAGCAGGCAACTTACATTGTAAGGTTTGATGGTGCTGCTCAAAATCTCTGAAACATAAAACAGAGGACAAAGTTGACTTGGGTCCATACGTTGGCCCTACCCCAACCCCCAGATGTGGGTCTGGGAAGGAGTCTGCTGCAGAAGCTTGGGCACCGCAGGTAACACGAGCCTGCTTCTGGCCTGGTATCAGGAAGCGAGGGGCTGGCCTCGCAGAGCTCAGCATGCATGGCCTGACCTACCAATGGAGTTTTCCCTCGAGCACAGCTTGCACTTCTGGACCATGGAGGCGCTGCCACGGCCTCCCTTCAGTGCCACGCTGTCCTAGCAAGGAGTAAACACAACCTCTAGTCACAAATCCGTCAGACGTAGGGTCCTGAAGAGACCCAGTCCCACCACTTATTATCCAACTGAAGAGACGAAGACTCAGAGAGGGTGAGCGACTTGCTAGGACAAGAATCCTGGGGAGGCTTCTTAGCACCAAGGAAAGGGCTTCCCCTTAATTTTGATCTCTGCCTCACATCCCAAAGAAGGCTGTTGTTTGCACTGTTGATCCCACTAATGCCTGCCCCCCCAAAACCACAAAAAGCAAGGTTCAAAGACCAGAGAGATTCAGGTCACAGATTCCCCAAATTCCTGCCTAGAGATGTCTGTGTGTGTGTGTGTGTGGGGGGGGGGGGGTCTGTGTGTGGGGTGTGGAGGGGGGGGGGGGTGTGTGGTGGTGGGGGGAGCAGTTACCATCAGCCGAATGTATTGCCACTTCTCTGAAATCTCACCACAGTTGCCACATTTCATCTTGGGAGAGAAAGGAGCATTAGTAGTTAGTTCAGTTAGGCAGACAGTGAGGGAAGGGTAAGAAGGCAGGCTCCTACCCTACCTTCCTGCCAGCAATCTCCCCTCATCCTTACAGCCAGCCCCACCAGGGACATAACCAGACTCACCGCTGGGCAAAGAACAGCCAAGGTGCTTCTCCTGCTGGCAGCCCCCCCTCCTCTAAGAGGTGCCCAGGTGAGCTGGGGACTCAGGCTCGTGTGGCACAGAAACGGTCTCAACCGGCCCCCTCCCCTCCACGCTGCTAGGTTAGAGCTTCCTGTGTTCCCACAGGCCCTGCCGTCCCTGGTGTAAGTGTCTGTCCTCTGTTGCTACTGGTTTTCTGTCTCCTTCCCTAGTCTCTGTGCTTTCTGAAACCAAAGAACATCAATTCCCCAAATAAGCCCTGGCACCCCGTCTTCAAAATATATGGGATTAAAGGTGTCCAGAGGCTTCCTGCAGCAGAAGCGGCTTTTGCCGAATACCGAAGGATGCTGAGATTCAGGCTACAAGGAAAACAGAAGCTCTGGGATCCGGGAGAGTGAAGGGCTTAGACTACTTGGCTGAGAGGGGTCCTCTCCAGACCATGCCACTGGCAGTACCAGCTTTTCCAGTTTGGGGTGGGGAAGCAGGGGCGGAGCCATGCACAGAATTAAACGATTTCACAATAAAGCCAATCAACGAATAAAACAGGTGAAATTATCCTCCTTACTAAAGAATCACAACATCCCTTCAAGCAGCCTTTCCTTTAGCACTTGTTTACATGCCATGAAATATTTAACGGAGAAAAAATTACAAAAGGAATTACAAGACACTGTCCATTAAGGATTAGCCAATAAGTTTTAAAAAGCAAATATAAAATTCTACCCAGAAAGAAACATTTGGTGGTTAAGTGCAGATCAGGTAGGGGAACCTTTTCCTGGGCCCGGCCTCTGGCGCCCCCTCCCGGAAGCTCGAAGTGCCCACAGCCTCTCGGGGCTCCTCCCCCGCTCCGTCGGGGCCCCGCCCCTGCAGCCGTACCTTCAGGTACCACCGGAAGTCCTCCCCCACAGGCCGGAGGTTAGTGACGTTCTCCAGCGTGGCTTTGAGCTGCAGCGCGATTTTCTGAGAGGAAAGGGAGGGCCAAAGCAACTGCATTTCGCGCCTGCGCAGCCCCACGCCTGGCCCCGGCCCGCCCGCCCCGGCCCGCGTGCGGCTTCTCCGCTCCTTTCCAGCGCAGGCCCGCTCCCCTCATCCTCTCCCGGCGCGAGCGCCCGCATCCCAGATCCACGCCGCCGCCGCGCCCCTGCCCCGGCAGCGTTCCGCTCCCGCCTCACCCCCATAGCGGCCTGGCTCAGCCCGGCGCTGGCTGCGGTCGCTGCTTTCCGGCCCGTCGCAAACGGTGGGCGCCGCGTGCGCACTCTCGGTGCGGGCCTGGGCTCGCGGGGGCGGGTCTCCGTGTGCCGCTCCTTCCGGCTCAGCGGGTTTTCGCTGCTTGTTAGTGCTTTAGGCCAGTGGTTCTCAGCCTTGGCTGCACGTTAGAATCGCCTGGGAATCTCTTTAAAATCCTGATTCCTGGGCCTCATTCTCCGGAAATTCTGTTTCTTTGTTATGGGGCGGGACCACAACATTAGTGACAAAGAAACAATTTCCGGAGGATGATGCCTAGGAATCAGGATTTCAAAAAGATTCCCAGGTGATTCTAATGTGCAGCCAAGGCTGAGAACCACTGCTCTAGGCGAAGAAAACGGAGGCAACCCGAGGTCGCAGGTTGCCTGCCTGCAGCTGTCAGTAGTCCGGGTGTTCACTGAGCGCGGGTCCGTGCCCCAGGCAGTAGTCGGGGGTGCCGCAGCAGCCTTCTTGGCCTCGGCTCTCCTGGCCCTTCACCCCTCCGCCTGCCCTCACCCACCTCCCGCCTGCTTCCCGCCTGCCCTGAGGCTCCATACATTCCGTCGGCTCCCCCTCCTCGGGGCCGGCTTCGCAGATTCGGGGCCTTTGTCTCTAACGGTTCCTTCCTCTTTCCTCATCGAGAACCGCTTTCGGAGGGTGGACCCGTGCACTCGTCCTCTTTGTGGTCCCCAATTTTTTCCATTGATTTCTAGAGCTCGTTCATCCTTTATACATTTACGGCACCTCGTTTTACTTGCCCTCTTGTCCGAGGCATATCTGAGCCCATACAGGTGCTGTAAACATGACCAAGAACAGCCCATTCGAAACGCGTATAGCCCTCTGAGCGCCTCACGGTCATTTCGTTAAAGTTTGGGGTGGCTGTTTTTGATACCTACTTTACCACCAGTTGTCTCACTGCCCAAGTACCCGCCTGTAGAGCCAGGAACCTGGACATCTCAGGCCTCAGATCCACCTGTTGCCTTGACGGAGGCAGAGTTGGGTGTGCGTTCGCTGGGCGCGGTGGGAGCTCCGCTGTCAGACCTGGCACCTGTCCTAGGTGAGCTTGTCTGGAGGTGGGAGCTTTGCCCAACCACTTCCCCTCGGCCACATGACTTACGAAGGCCCGGTTCCTTTCAGTCCCACCATCTATTCAACCAGCAGTTCCTACAGATTCACCAAATTCCCACACTCGCTGTACCTACTAGGTCTCCGCTTTTTTTTTCTTTTAATCTTCACCTGAGGATATTTTTTCCATTGATTTCTAGAGAGTGGAGGGGAGGGGAAGAGAGAAACATCCGCATGAGACACAGAGATTGCCTCCCACATGCACCCCTACCAGGGCTGGGGAAGCTGCAACCGAGGTAGGAGGTACACACCCTTGACCGGGAATTGAACCCACAACCCATCAGTCCGCAGGTGCACACCACCAGCTAGGGCAGGTCTCAGTTCTTAATAGCTGTCGGTAGTCTGATTTTAAAGTGTATTGGAGCCCTGGCTGGTATGTGGCTTGGTTGCGTGTTGTTCCGTGCACTGATTCGGTTCCTGGTCAGGACATATACCCAGGTTGCAGGTTTGATCATGTTGGGATGCGTACGGGAGGCAACCGATCGATGTTTCTCTTCCTCTCTTAAAAGTCAATAAAAAATATTTTTAAATGTATAGGAAAACTTTACTGATACTAGGTATTTTATCCCTTACATTAGTCTCTTCCATAATGAAATAGCTGTAAATATTTATCTATAAAAGACGATTTTTAAAAACCCAACCTCAGTTATCTCAGTAAACCCAACCACAATACCATTTTTCACCTTAAAAAGACTATTTCATTAATATCAAATATCCAGTGTTCAAATTTCCGTAATGTCAATTTAAAATTTTTTGAATCATGATCCAGATGGGATCCAAACATTTCATTGAGCCTCTTAACTCTCCTTTAACCTATATAGCTTCATGCTCCATCTGTATCTTGTTTTATTGAAGCAACCAGATCCCTTCCCCTGGACTTTTCTCTGAATATTGCTGATTGGACTCCCACTGTATTTTTTAACATGTTTCTCTATTTTCATTTTTATTTAGTGATTTGAGAGAGAGGAAGGGGGAGAGAGACAATTTGTTGTTCCACTTAGTTATGCATTCTTTGGTTGCAATATGCCCTGAGTGGGGATTGAACCTGCAACCTTGGCATATTGGGACAGTACTCTAACCAACTGAGCTATAAGGCCAGGGTTATATTTTCTTATTTCCTATGAATTGGTAGTTTTATCTACAGAGTCAATTCAGTTAGATTTTGGGGCAATACCTTACACAGGGTGTTAGTGTTTTAAAAATTGGGCTCTGGCCGGGTGGCTCAGTCAGTCTGGAGCGTCATCCCGTACACCAAAAGGTGTGGGTTCCATGCCTGGTCAGGGCACACTTCTAGGTTATGGTTTTGATCCCGTCGGGACACGTATAGGAGGTGGCTGATTGACGTTTCTCTCTTGCATCAATGTTTCTGTCTCTCTCTGAAAATCAATAAAAACATATCCTCAGGTGAGGATTTAAAAAAAAGTAATTGAAAAGAGTTCACACGTTTAGAAGTCCCTATAAAATAATAATTGCATTTTGTTATATATTTATTGAAGACAATCATTTACAGTTTATAAAAAAAATATTGGCCTTCTATACACAAAAATTTCCTGATAATGGTAATGAAAACCAGCTACTCCCACCCCCCTAGTGTCCACACCAATATTCAATCTAGATTGGTTTAATCTTGAAGTGTAATCCAATAAGACTGAAGACCAAACACTTCAGGTCCTGGACAAGATAATAAAATACTCGTAAGCCTTCTGGGTCCCTAAAATGCAAAAGGAAAAAAATGTTTAAAAAGCAGAGACAACTGGCAAGATAATACCACTTAACGCAAATTATGTACCAAGGCGTTACTCATAAAGGTATTTACAGAATTAAAACTTCGAAAACAGTTCAAAAAGGGAGGAAAAGGCTACATGCTACATATTAAAACGGAATATGAGGTCATTTAAAATGTTAAGGTTTTAAAAATTAGGGAAATGTTTATATTAAGTGAAAAAAATAATTCAAATAACATTATTGGTCTAAATATTTTTCGGTGCCTTTAAAAACTATATTTTTTAATGCTCAGAAAAAAGATAAGAAATACTTTAAGCCAGTGGTCGCCAACTGGTGGTCCTCAGATCACTGGTGGTCCATGAGGTCCAAAAGGTTGGGGACCACTGCTTTAAGCCCAGCTGGCATGGCTCAGTGGTTGAACATCGACCTATGAACCAGAAGGTCACGGGTTCAATTTCCAGTCAGGGCACATGCCTAGGTTGCCGGCTCCATGCCCAGTGTACGACTTGTAGGAGGCAGCCAAACATTGATTCTCTCATCATTGATGTTTCTATCTCTCTCTCTCCCTCTTCCTTCCTCTCTGAAATCCATAAAAATATATTAAAAAAATACTTTACAGTATTAATGGTTGTCTAATTGACAGGTTTATGGGTGATTTTCCCCTTACATTTTTAGGTTTCCTTTATTTTCCATAATGAGCATGTATAAGTTTCAGAATTAGGAAAACTTTTCTTAAGAAGTAGTACTAGTCAGGATCAAGAAGTTGAAGGTTACTACAGCATAACTGGCTTAGAGACTGTCCAAAGGAAGTCCCCCCGCCTGTGGACATTATGCCCACCATGTACTAAAAGTGAGCCATGTCTAATCCCAAATGCCCAAAACACAGGAGCCAAAGAGATTTTCAAATTTTGAGGACTCTGCAGCATACTTTTTTTTTACACTTTTTTTTTCGCAGCATACTTTATAATTTGCCCTCCTGATATGAATTTTTAAATTTATATTCCAAATAATTTCAAGTTCCACCCAAATCAGACTTTAAAATGTGCTAGTCTGAATGACTAACATCAAGGAAGGTAGTTAGACTTAACGACTCTACAGTTTATCTTAAGCACTTTTATTGGCATATTTCATTTTTCTGTTCTGACAGATTCTTACCCACACTAGCTGCTCCAATGGCATTACTGTGTGTGTCACTGAGAAGCTCTTATTAGTAACTAGAGGCTCGATGCACAAAATTCGTGCAAGGGACTCAGCCCTTGCAGCCCCGGCTTTGTCCGAAGGTCATTTGGCTGCCCAGTCTAATTAGCATATTATACTTCCAGATGAAGCCGTCATGACGGGGGTGATCAGGCAGGCAGAGGGATTGGGGCAATCAGGCAGACAAGCAGAGTGGTTAGGAGCCAGCGGTCCCAGATTGTGAGAGGGTGCAGGCCGGGCTGAGGGGACCCCCCCCTCGTGCACAAATTTTGTGCACCGAGCCTCTAGTTACAGATAACTGGACAAAGGTCAAAAGCAATAGAAGCAAGTCCTGAAAATAATTTAGAGCCTCTCTCCATCTGTACATGATCTTACCATATGGTCCCAATTTGTTTAAAGGTTTTATATCAATCTACTGCAAAACAGACACATCTGGACATACAGATCATGTACACTTACTTGGATTGATTGACATCAATGAGGGAACCAATTTTTGATGTTGTGAAAGAAATGTGTTCATCTCCAATGACGATTTCAAGCTCCTGGAAACATTTAAAAATGTTTAAAATCAAGCCAAATTGGATTGTTCATTAAGTACACAGGAGGTTCATCTGCCAAATCACACAAACTCTATCTACTACACATAAACAAGACCAATTCCCTCTGAGCAGTAAATTGTGCTAGGTACTAGAAGCAAAGAGATAAATACTCGCTTGAGTAGCTCATACTTTTAGAGGAAGTTGTGTCGGTAATTTGAAAGAAATTACATAATTGTTTTGTATATGTGTTTTTGTTGTTAACAGTGTAGAGTAACATGTATGTTTTATAAATACCAAGAATCTTAACTTTTCTGGGCAACATGGGACAATTTTGGACAATGATAAATGCTATGAAGACGATCAAACATCTTTTTTTAAATGACAGGGAGAGGTGTTTTCTTTATTTGGATTCTGTCCTTTAATAATTTTCAGAGGAAAGCCTTGCAGTGGCATCTAGCTCAGTAGAGACACTGCTCAAAGATTTGTAAAAATGGCAGGTTTGCAGACCTTGGGTAATGTACATCAAATTCAGCAAGCCAAGGAGTGAATTTTTTATGATGGAGTTCTTACTATTCACTGGTTCTGGGCCAGTTTTCCATAGCCTCCAAATGGGGAGAGGTGTTTTAGATGTGATGGACAGACAAGATATCACTGAAAAAGTGACATATGAAGGCTTTAATAATAAAGTTTTAGAAAAAATATTTCAGGAAGCATGTAGCAAATACAAAAGGTCCTAAACTAAGAACAACAGGTATGTCTAAAGGACAGAAATAAGACCAGTGAGGTCTGAACACAGCCAGAGATTATAAGATAAGGTGGGAGTTTGGATTTTATTTTAAATGCAGTGGAAAGCTACTAGAGCAAGCATGTCAAACTCAAAGGCTAACACGGGCCACATAAACGAGGGTTAAGTTTATATGGACCGCAAAAAGACAAAAGCTTCAATTTTCATAGAAATGTAGGTTTATTTCGACAGAGACATGCTGAATACAAAGGGCTGAAATAAATGAGTAATCATTAACATAAAATAATAGAACATTTTAATAAATTAATGTTTTTTCTTGGACATTAACCTAGCAGACATTGAATAACTGCACAAATTAATAAACGTAATGCAAATAAACCTATTTTTCTTGTTCTCCAAAAGTGAAATATTTCCTGTTGCGCACACCAAACAAGTCAGTCCAAGACTAATGATGTGACAATTGGCTGCTAAAATATTCGCTGCTAGTATTAGTGGAGAGAAATGGTACGCCTGTGCTTAAGGGAAAGGAATGCAACATGATTATAGTAATCAGTCATTAGCGAATGTTGTAGCTCGTTATTAAAAATTATGGATAACAGGATATTGTAAAAATTAAGTTATAAAATTTTTATTAAAACGTTTCTTACATACCGCTATATTGACTGGGCCACAAAAATATTCGTTGTGGACCGAGAGTTTGACATGCTTGTACCAGAGAGTTTAAAATTAGTGAAATACAGTAAGCCCTTACTTAAATTGTTGGTTGGTTCTGTGACTTTAAGCAAAGCGATAGAGTATAACAACCAACTTTATCATAGGCTGATAGAAATAACAGTTAAATTCATATGGCATCTCATCACATTATAAGGAAGCCACATTAAATAGAATGATGTTATTTGAGTGCCTGCTATACATAAACAAATTTACATTTTACAAGATTACTCTGGCTTCAGGTTGGAAAATGGGCTGCACAGGATAAGAGAAACAAAAAAATCAATTAGAAGTCGGGATTAGGAAAGAAGTAGATGAGGTTAGTTGCTTGCATGATTTTCCTTCCATTAGACTGTCAGACTATTGAAATAACTGTTCTATTTATCTTTGTATCTTCACAGTGCTTTGTCTATAGTAATAAGTAAGGTGGGCAGCAAAACCCTGAGAAGAGGGAGAGGGAAGGTCACAAGAAGAAACTCAGGGCTGGACTCCTGGTGGTCAGCAGCACTTCTTGCTCTCTCTCTTCCTCCCTGTGGGTTCAATGCTTCCTTAGATCAAGGTGCTCGTAATGTGCCCGTGTAGGGCTCCATATGCACGCGTGCACGCACACAAGTGGAGGATTCAATGTCCTATGGAGAGTAGTCAACTTACATTATTTATAAGATTTCTGCACTGGGAATAGCTGCTAAAACACTCACCTGCCGGCCCACTCGGTCCGGGGGAGGCCACAAAGCATCATCCTCTTTGGTAATTTCACTGTCATCAATTATTCTCTTCAGTTCCTCCATCACACTCTTATGTACATAAGCCTGAAAGTTAAAAAACAGAATTTAAGTTGTATTCCTAAGCAGCATTCTGCCTCAGATAGTGATTAAAGATAAAAAAAAAAAGACTGCTCCTGAAAACTCATTTCTGGCACCTCTGCAAATGGGAAGACATTCAGGCTTGACCTCAGCATGCTGAAGAGGGCAGGGTCAGAAGTGCCCAATGATTACACCTCCATACCCCATATGGTGTTTCTACTTCTTGGCACATCCTATTCACATGGACCTTTCCTTACCCACACATCTAACTCACACCTAGACCGAAAATAGATCTCTGTGTAACCCTGGCTATTCTTAACTAGATGACATGCTTCTGAAAAGCAGAGACATGTCTTTTAAATACACTCTACATATCCTATCTAATAATAGACAAAGATGCAAATTGACCATACCTTCGCTACACCCACCACTGGCTAATCAGAGCGATATGCAAATTCACAAAGATGGTGGCTAATTTGCATATACCGGCTGGGAGCGAAGACTGAAGACACCGTAGAAGGAAGCCAAGCAACGGAGCCGGAGCCGAGGTAGCGGAGACGGGCGGGAGAGAAGCGGCAGAGAAGGGTGGGGTAGGAGCGGCAGAGACTGGCGATGGGCGGGGTAGGACAGGCAGAGATGTGAGCGAAGCCCTATTCTTGCAGGAATCTTCCTGCAAACGGGCCTCTACTTAGTTTATATTAAAAAAAAAAAAAAGCTCCTCCAGCGTGGCTCCGTGATTGACCTAAGAACCAGGAGTCCCAGTTCGATTCTTGGTCAGGGCACATGCCTAGGTTGCGGGCTTGGTCCCCAGTGTGGGACATGCAGGAGGCAGCCAAACAATGATTCTCTCTCATCATTGATGTTTTTTTTCTCTCTCTCCCTTCCTCTCTGAAATCAATAAAAATATCTATTTTTTTAAAAAGGATGCTGACATCTGTAGGTAAGCATAAAACTGATCGCTAATCCTATATAATAGAAGGCCAGCGACCATAAGCATAACAACCAGAATGACCGCTCAACCAGTCACCATAAGGTGTATTGACCACCTCTCGGTCCTGCCCTCCCCCTGCGAACTGAGGTGCACGGCAGTGGGGCAGGACTGGCGAGTGGGTTGAACAGCCGACCTCTTGGTCCCTCCCCACAGCCCACAGGCTCCAGGGAACCAGAGCCATGCTGTGATCAAGGAACCACGGGGAACCAGGGGGTGGCGGCGGAGTGGGACTGGGGACTGGTGAGCAGGCAGAAGATGGCCCTGATTGCAGGCTAGGCCTAGGGACCCTACCCACGCACGATTTTGTGTGCTGGGCCTCTAGTTAAATATAACAGTATGAAAATATACTGATTGTTAAGATAGTTTCAAATGTTAACAAAGTGGCTAAAAAGGAAGTGTAGCTTTGATGAAGCCTTAATGGTGTGGTAGAAATCACACCAAAATGGAGCACACGACAGAGGCAGGAATAGGTTTGAATTCCTGTTCTATCCCTTACTGGCAGGGGTGACTTTGAACAAGTTCAATAAATCATATCTGGGCTTTCACAGTCTTATCTGTAAAGGGTATCTAATATCATCCATTACCCAGGCTTATAATCAGGATCAAATGAGATCATGTGTGTAAAGTATCTAGTGTCATGCCTGGCATCTAACAAGCATTCAATAAGGTTAACCATTTTTCCATGCTCTCCCATTCAAATGCAAATTAGAGCTGGACTGAGTGCTGTGTCCAGGGAGTATACCAAATACTCTGAGTGGGGACGAGCTCTTATTGGTTTTTATTGCAGATGAAGAACCGGAATTTATCAAGTTCAGCTGGGAAACTTGCCCAAGGCCATATAGTTAGCAAGCAGCAGGTTCAGGGTTCAAGCCAAGATCTGCAAGACCTCACGTGAGAGCCAATAACTGATTCAGTGCTGTGAAAGAAAATATAAACTAAAAGATTTGAGAAAAACATTAGAAGCTGTCTACAGACATGTTTATACTTTCCTCTTCTTTATCTTTCATTACTACTCCCAGAAAGAACAAAAAATGACAAAAGGCTAAACTGTAGTGAATGAGAAAGTCTCTCAGAAGGCTCATTACCTCTTTTCTGATCATGACATCATTCTTGTAATTGCTGTTGTTGGCATACCTCAATTTCCCTGTGAGGGGGGAAAAATCAATATGTAATAAAAACATATGACTAAATCATCATTAGCCTACTAAGACTGTCAGTTGCTTAAAACGTATTCTAACTTTTTAAATGTTTACACCTTCAGTGTCTCAACAATACATTTTTTCAGTTCTTCACTTTAGGCTATTAAATAGCCTCACAGCCAAAACTATAGCTGATGCTGAATTACAGATCTTGCAAAAGGTAGCTCAGGTAGGACAAAAGAACTCAGGTAGAATCATATTTCTGCAGGTTAATGTCCTAAGCTGAAAACAGGGATAGTAATTGGTAACTTACCTGCACAAGAGGCCTGCTGAGGCTATAATGAGTTATGAAAGCCTTTGAAAAATATAATTTACATACATTATCATGTGACTGTGTGATATTCTGACATATTCCTGTGACAGAAAAGTTGTGGTTTCAGCCCTGGACAGTACGGCTCAGTTGGTTGGAATGTTGTCCCGTGAATTGAAGGGTTTCGTGTTTGATCCCTAGTCAGGGTGGGTACGTGGCAACCAATAGATTTTCTCTCTCACATCAATGAACATATCCCGGGTGAACATTGAAAAAAAAAGTTGTAGTTTTATTACTTAACACATTTAGTACACAAGTCTCTGTGTATATACGCATTCAACAGGCTAATCTGGGTATATGGTGGGTACGAAAAGATAAAAGGCAAATTAAATGATGCCTCACTGTACTCTCTACCTCAAGACTCTTTCCTTTCAGTTCATTCTCCACACAGTGGACAAAGTGATGTATAACAGCAAGATCTGATCAGTTTACTCTAATACGGACAATGGCTTCCCCCTGCCTTCTTGGCCACGGTAAAATCCAAATTCAACATGGCACACTGCTAAACTGAGCCTCTGCCTGCCTCTCCAGGCTCCCTCCTGCAAGAGCTCTCTCTCACATCAGGCTATGTACTTGGTTTCTGTCTGAAACGTCCCATGCACTTTGTGGTTTTCAGCCTCTTTGCCATTAAGGCTGTCCAAAATGCATTCTTAACTCGTCTGCCTACACAACTCCTCGTCACTGAAAACTCGCATCCCCCTTCCCTCATGTTTTGCCGGGAAATCTCTGAACCCTCAGCTAGATTAGGTGCCTTCTTTCTGTTCTGAGTCTCTCTGCTCCTTTCTCCCACAGCCCCTAATACACTCTCTCGTCACTGTTTACAAACCTATTTCCTTCACACATGCAGCTTGTCAGATTCACCTCTGTGCCCCCATGTAATAGGAGATTTCTATCATCTTTGACTCCTTTTCCTCACCACCCGTTCGCTCCCTAAATCCTATAACTGACAGTCATATTGGTTCTGCCTTGAACAGTACCCTAAGTTCTTCTCTCCACTTTCACCCTAGCCCCTACCAGCACCCCTTCTGTCTGGACAATTGTTAATGTCTCCTAATAAGAGGCCCTGTTTCCACTTTTGCTCATTCTGTACCCGATCACTAAAATACTTTTTCAAGAACAGATCACACCTCTTCTCTGCTTAAAACTTTCCCACTGCTTCCTGCTGTACTTAGAATAAAATCCAAACTCTTCACCATGGCCTATAAAGACCTACATGTTGTGGCCACGGCCTACCTATCCCATATTATCTCCTACTTTTCTCCCCAGCCACACGGGCACCTGGAATAGGCCTCGCTCACCCCGCCCTGTGGCCCCGACACCTGTTGCTCCCTCGGACTAGATGTTCTTTTGGGGCGTCACAGGCTGGCTCCTTGTCAATCAAGGTTCAGTTCAAATATCCCCTTTTCAGAGAGCTCCCCAACGGTCGCCCTATTTAAAACCAGCCCGTCATTTTGTTTATTTCCGACCACTCATCACGGTCTGGAATCCCTTTGATGACTTCTCTCCCAGCCCTAGAATAAAAGCTCCCTGCGAAAGAAAGCTTGCCTATCGTCCGCGCCCGCATCCCAGGTAGTGAAACGGCGCCCGGTGCAGAGCGGGCGTGCGCTCAGCGCCTGCGGAAGCATCCGGTGAAAATGTCACAACAGAAGACCGCCCTGGACAGACAGAGCCCATGGGGCGGACACAGGCGTGCTTCTCCTAGAGCCCTGCCTTCCTCCTCCAGCTGCCCGCACGTTCCCGGCCCCCGGCCGCCCCAGGCGTCGTCCCCGCGCCCGGGGCCGCTCTCACCATCCGGTCGGAACTCAAATTCCAGGAATTCGTGGCCGAACTTGCCCTTGTGACCCACGTAGTAACGCAGATAAAAGTCACTCTCCATGGCTCGCGAAAGGCCACTCAGACAGAACTTGAACAGCGGTCCGTAGCGCTGTCCGCGCCCGGCAGTGACGTTTAGAGGCGCGCGGAAGTGACGTAAGGCAACGCCGTTGCGCGTAGCTCCTCTCGCGCCACCGCCCGGAGGTGGGGACGAGGCTGCCCCGCCCCTCTCGGCGGAAACGACGCCCCTTTCGCTCGGGGGCGGAGTCAGCGCAGCCCCGCCCCCTCCGCCGAAGCAATTGCCATGTGGGGATAAAGGGTACACATTGCGGGAGCACGGAACACTATGGAAGCACCCGGAGCGGCTCCTGACCCAGGCCCTGAAGGAAGTGCTCCAGAGAGCGGGCCCAGACTGTGTGGTTAGAACACAGAACGAGGTGGTGACTATAGTAACAAGTTGGAAAAGGGACAGACACTAAGCCGCGAAGTTCTTTACAAGACGTATTAAGGAGTTCAGGCTAAAACCCAAGGGCATTGGATTTTAATGCAAGGGAAGCAGATGAAGAACTTTAAGCAGGTGACATGACCTATTGCATTTTTGAAAGATCATTCTGGTGACAATGTTGCAGATTGGATTGGAAAATGCAAAGATTAGCCCTGCTGGTGTGGCTCAGTGGTTGAGCATCGACCTATGAGCCAGGAGATCACGGTTCGATTCTCGGTCAGGCCACATGCCTGGGTTTTGGGCTCGATGTGCAGGAGGGAGCTGATCAATAATTCTCTTTCATCATTGATGTTTCTCTAAGATTCAATAAAAACAATTTTTTTAATGTGGACGGTTTGAGATGGAATATCATAATTTAAAGGGTGGACAAAGGAGATTAAGATGTAGCCAGAGGGGATGGGGGGAAACCAGGTGTATGGTGTCATGCAGACCAAAATAAGAGTATCCCAAGAAAGGAGTACCAACAATGTTAAATACCCCTTCCAAGGTCAAGGAAGACAGGACTAAAAGTATTTACAAGGTTTATAATCAGGGAGGTCCTGGTGACCTTGGTAAAAGCTACCTCAGTGGCATGGTCACAAGTGAGGAGCAGGGCAGACGAATTGGGATACACGTGGGCCAAATTTGTGGTGGAAGCAGGGGTGACCTAAGCCTATGTGTTAGGTCTGGGTGTGAGAATAGAGAATGCTTGCTGGAGTACTCAAGGACAAACGAGTTGCCAGATGGAGGCAGAGAAGGAAAATCTAGAGAGAGAAGGCCACATGCACATGAGCACTACATGTGCTGCATGTACTTCGGGGACGTTAGACATAACTGTGTGACTTTGGGCAGTTCCTTCACCCATTTCCTCCTCAATAAAACGGGGATTATAATATTGACAGTATTTACCTCACACGATTGTTGATGAAGATCAAGGTAATTTATGTGGAATACTGGTACACATTAGGGATGCAGTCAATGACCATTCACACTCCCCTCATTAAAGCATCACAATGAAACAATACTTCCAGATTTTTAAAAAGGAATTTAATCTTTCTCTAGAAACAGTGCACTGATTTTACAAATGTCCACATTTGCTTTTTAGTTCACCAAGATGATGCCAGTACAACTAGTGAGACGTAGCACACCACCCGTTGCCTCTGGAAGAGGCCAGACTGCAAGGGGGACTGAGGACAGAAGACAATGGAATTTGGAATAAGATAAAGAGAGCAGGGATGGTTAGTGTGACCCAACATTCTAACATGCCTGTTACATCAAACATCAAATATGGTAATTTGGGGACCTGTGTGTGTGGGAGGGAGACAAACAGGGAAAATTCGTTTGGGTACAATGTGATGGAGTTTGCGAACCAGTACTTTACCCCCAAATTAACAACAGCTTGTATAGAACAAAATGCTATTTTAAAACACATGGTTTGTACAGGTATTTGTTTTCTCTTGTAATTTTTGTAAAAAAGTATCAAAACCTTCATGTCTTTAAATATATATACATATACAGGTGGCTCTTTTAAAATTATTTTTTATAGCACAAAGTGTTTGCAAATACAGAGGGTTTCTGCTGATTCCTGACTATGCACATGGTGCATAGCCTGAATAGGGATTCCTGATTTCTTTTATTGACTGGAAATCTGAAGCTGTAATTCCTCCACCTCTAAGTTCTCCATATCCTGAAAATCCCCAATACCCTAAAAATACCATGTAAAAAGACTCCAATACCTTATCTTCATGCATTGATGGGAAAGGAGATCATTTACTCTGAGCCGGTTAACTGCTAACCATTTCTATTCTGTGAAATGAGTGTATGGCTGACGTTAGGGAGTGAAGTGGGGAGGCTCGCATTCCTGTGCCCTCTCCCCATTCCCACCAGCGCCAGACTGGACAGTTCTTGGGGTCCCCTCTGCAAACTCCACGTCTTCAAAACTCCCAGTTTTCTTTCTCTCTGTGGAAGAAATCTCAGAGGCTCTTGGCAACATGGAATGCTTCTGTGAAAATCCCACTGCCCTTATGTTAGTTTTCATAGACCATATCACAAAACTTCAACTCGAATATATGAAAAATAGTCACTGTGTCTCTTTGGCCACCGGAAAGCTTGAGGCTCAAGACTGTCATGTCTGCAAGTGCTGGCAACACATCCCGATGAATTTCCCGTGCACTTGGTGCCTCGCACACAGTGAATGACCAAGGAATGTTTGCTTAATTAAATCAGAAGTTAAATAGGAGTATTCTATAAAGTGCTTATGTTGAACCTGTCTTTCCATTCAGCTCATTGCTTGCTACGTCCCCCTTGAGCTTTTTGCTCGTTGTAATGAATTACATGCAGTTCATGAAAGTCCCCATGCCGTTTCATGCCTCTGTGTCTTAGTTGTGTTTCTTCTGCCTGAAGCAGCCTGACATCCCTACTTAGTTTTTAAGACTTAAGGTCACTTCTCCTGTGGTGGCTTTCTTGACCCCATTATCTCCTTCGGTAGAAATGACCACTTAGTATCATAACATTATTCTGAAAAGAATCTATTCTTTTTTTTTTGTTTCCACGTCTTCCTCTACTGCCACTGTGAGTGCCATAGGGACAGAAAATGTTTGACTGACCTATACTTCTGCAGTGCCCAACACTTAGCTGATACCTAGCAAATGGGTTCAGTGAATGCATATATTGCAGTCGCAAAGAGAGAATTGGAGGGATCCAGTGTTTATTGCCATAAATTTAAATCCAATCTCATCCTGAGGTTACAGGTTATCTCCATCTATTGTGAAAATAATCATGCCATCAAAAGTAAATAAATGAAATTTTAGTTTTCCCTGTTTCTGGAAGGCCATTTCTGCCAGTGCCTTCATAATCCCGTTGGAAAGAAAGGTGGCAGGTTTGGTGCAATGTTCAGGCAGTGCGAAGTAGTCAACTGGAGAAGAAAAGGGAGGAAAAGGACCGCAGCGTTTCTTTTAAATAGAGAAAAATTGTCTGATACACCTTCTGCCCTCTTGGTGTTGTTTCTAAGCGTCCTCCAGCTCTGCGTATAGTCCAATGACTCTCTGACCTGTTCCTGACTGTTGGTATATGACGGCATCAGGGCAAAAAGCAACAGAAATGCAACTAAACCTCAGAATGAGACTTACAGCCTTCAGGGCTAGAGGATGGACTTGAGTATTCAGATTTCATCTACTTTACTACCATCCAACACGTGAATATTCCACAATTTGGTTTTTTGTAGGCTGTTCCCATAGCTGCCTCTTTCAAACTGCAGTTGCAGCATATTCAGAAAACATGGGTATCTCTGAGAAAGTTGTGTTTCATCTTCCTTTTGAGATATCGGGCTGAATCATCCTGATCCCATTCATTATTTTTTCTGTGAAGGCCAGGATCTGACTGAAAGTTTAGATATTATGCATTAGACACTATTATAATTTCCCCGGGAAATTCTATTTCTTTGGAGGCAGGTTAAAGAAAAAGTTGCTTGTTTTTGTGTAAATTTCAATGACTTTTCACTTCCATAATTTTTCTTCAGTCAAAAATTATTTTACTTTTTATTCTTGAAAGAATAGTAGTAAGTGACTAAGCTCCATAGGAGTTGGCCGGATGTTTTTAAAATTCTATTTGGTAACGGTCATTCTAAGTCAATGCATCTTTCCCTCTTACCGGACGTTTCAGGACTATCGGCACATACGTATCATGAGGAAATTGCTTGTTTATGCAAAGCATAGTGCCCAGGCTCCAGAATACGGTTGTTTCCCCAGAATCTAGCAGATCATGAGTGACGGAGAGAAAGAAAGGTCCTAGGAACAGGGTGACAGAACTCCAGAATGCCTGTCTGGAAATTCAAAGGGTAGCAATGGGTGAGACATCCAAGGTTCACTGAGTTGGGGGCAACTTGGAAGTAGGGGAGAGGAATTTGCTTACATGGGCCAAGTTCCAGGTATGCTGAGGTGAGGTACATGTCCTCTGCCCCTACTGAAGCCAAACACGCTGTGTCACGTCTTGTGCCTGGTTGTCCAGTGGGAGTACAGTGTGGAACAGCAGAGTTAAGGAAAGACCTTGGACGATAGAGCCAGCGGGGACTGCATTCCTTCTGGGACTATTGGATTATGTTTTCAATGGTAGACTCCACAAAGAGAGATGAACACTTCTCCCCGCCTCCCCAAGGCCCAGGAGAGGCACAGGAAGTGTCCATGGTGAAACAAAGCTGTACATAGACCTAGAGTTCTTCCTTTTATTTACAAAGCAGTAAACCAAACTTCTGTGTGAACATATATCCAGTGTCCTATAATATTGCGTATGCCATTTCCCCCTCAAATAGGACTTTAGGTTTGTCCACCTTTACTGCCTTAAGCCCCACATTAGTTTCATCTATGCGAACACATGATGGCAACAAACCTAAGTATTACTCTTCCCCACCTAAAGGAAATGGGAGAGTAAGAGGAAGGGAGAGATGGAGATGTAACAAAACCTATTCCACCATCTTTATCCTCATCCATAGTGCATCCCAGGGGTTCTGTGCCTAAGCCAGTCCCTAGAGTAAACCTGGGCTGTTCTGGAAACATCTTCACTTAGCTCTCTATCAGTAAGGAATGCAACCTTAATGAATTCAACCCAAGTGTCCTGAAGGAAAATGAAGTTGCTCAAAATGCTGAACTTTAAAACAGGAGTAGCCAAGGTTCAGGCATGTTCTCACCTGAGCTCACGAGGACTTCTGGCACCGTGTAAAGTCTGTACGCTGGCCTTAGCCCCGTAAGAGAAAGCCCAGGGGGGAGTCCCAGCAGCCTGAAGGGCTTTGCCCGAGTCGGGTCCCAGGAATAGCCAGAGCTGGGGAGGTTCTGCCTCTGCCGCTACATGTGTGCACACACCATGGTATCTGTTCTCTGAGCCAGGGTTCCAAAGGTGAATTCTCTGAAAACTCCAGATGCCCTCTGTGGACTGGCTTAAAATATATCTATCGTCATGTACTTGAACAACCGCCATAGGTGCGCCTCTTCTCTAGAGTTTTCTCTTGCACACACATGCAGACAAACACAATGCACACAGAGTCTGTGTGGTGGGCCAATCATACCAAAAATAAATACTCTCATGTCTCTAAATGATTCATAGAACTAATCTTATTTATGAAGTTTGTTAATAAATAATCTAAATTGGGGAGGGAGTTGAGGTGCTTATCTTTCTTTTCTTTTTTATGTTGATGGATAGCCACAAAGCATAATCATTTTATTTACAAAAAAAACCCCCAAAACTCCAAAACCTAAAAAAGCCCCCCCGAAATCAAATATTCTCTCTGTAAATATAGTTTTTAAATGATGAGTAAGCTACTGTACCATCGGCCCCATTTGGTTATGTACATCATGTTAGTCACTCAGCAGTAGCCATTCCATGAATTCCTCATGGGTAGTGCAACCAGTTAAAAAGTGTATAAAACATTATACATATAAAAACTCTCACATCCTTTGGATGTCTGCAGTTCATCATAACTTTGTGGTTACCTTTCTGCAACATAAATTAAAATTACACACGCACACACAGACACGCGCACACTCACTCAGGCCCATACAGAAATCCTTCCATCCAGGCATACACCATCCAGAGAGTGTAGTGCATGGAACTGAATTCCGTGAGGCATGAAGGGAGTGGTCCCATCCTTACGGCAGTCCATCATCTTCAAGGCTTAATGCCACTCGCTGGGGAGACACAAAGAGATCATCGTTAGAACCATAGGAATTATTTGCTGAGTCTGCCTAAGGGCCAGGCATCCTATTACTAGTACTTTACAGGCATTGACTCATAGAATCTCCAAGCTACCCCACAAGACAGGCTTCTCATATTTATTTTACAGATGAGCAAATTGAGACTTAATGAGCTTAAACATCTGTCCTGGATCGCGTGGCAAGTGGGTGAACTAAAATTTGAAGCCAAGTCTCTGTGAACCCAGAGCTTTAGCCTTTTCCATTATCCTGCTCTGCCTCTTTGTCAAGGAGGGCTGCAGAGATCTAAACTCTCTCAAGCCTTTCTTAGAGGATTTTAGGTTTGCATATGTTTTGGGTTCGTTTTGGCATATGTTTAACCCCAGGTCATCAGCTGCGTGGCTCTAGCATGTTAGTCTCAGCTAGGAAGGCAATCTGCTGCATCCCTCCCAACTGAGTACACAGAACTGGAAGGCAATGCAGGTCAATGAAACTCAGGACCTCTTTCCTTCACCCCTACTTCCTAGCCATTAGCTGCTAGACTTCCGTCTGTGACAAATGCCTGGCCACTGGATGGTGAACCTACCAATCCCAGAGCCGGCCTATTCCGTTGTGGACAGTGGGCTTAAATGCTCTCCTATCTTGACATGAAATCTGTTTCTTTATCTTCTGATGTTCCCTGATTCTCTCCTAGACTCAGATAGTTCTACACAGACAACACTTGAAATTTGCAGTGTTTGAGTTCCCTTCCTTTGGAATGTTTTCCTCTCTGGCTACATATCTAGCTTTCCCCCGCTGGTCCTGTTGTAATCCTGTTTCCCACTTATCCGTTTCCTGGATGCCCTCCTTTGGACAGACCCGTGTTTCACTATCTTCTCTGAGCTATGTGAATTTGGGCTAACCATTCACCTCTCAGAGCCTTGGTTTCATCATCTGTCAAATGAGAACAATAATAGGACCTGCCTCCTAGGGTTGTTGGGGAATCAAATGATATTGCATGCAGAGTGCTTAGTACATCACTAACACAAACGCGCGCGCGCGTGCGCCCGCGCGCACACACACACACACACACACACACACACGGTCCAGCGTATTCCAGATCAGCCTAACCAGCATGAAACACAACCAGGCTAGCATTTTCCATCTCTGGACATTCTACATACAATAAAAGGTAACCCCACTGCCTTTCAAATCATCTTGTGGTTATTTATAGTTTTGCATGGATGCCATGACCTTGCTCCACCAGCATAGATATTTGAGAGTATCTTTTTCTAAACCAGTTACCCTCCCACTCTCTCCAGGACAGATCTCCAGGCTGGGGGCAGGCCCCAAGGACTGCTAAGGGAGCTCCTGAGAAAGGGACAGGGGAGAGAACAGGTTGTTGAGAATATTGGCTTCCAGAGCATCAAGGCTATTTACCCCATGTCAGAGGGGAAAGAGCATGGGGTTTTGTGTACACACAGACTGGAGTTTGAATCCTGGTTCTACCACTTCCTAGTTGTGATCCTAGGTGTAATTTATTTTCTGAGTCTCAGTTTCCTCATCTGCAAAATGGGGATAATAATATCAACCTTATAAGGTTACTGTAAAGACTAGACAAGAAAATGTATGTAAAACACTGAGTGGTGTCTGACACTTAGTAGGACCTCACTAAATGTGATTTCCTCACTCTCCTACTCCATTTCTCTGCAACTGGCAGGAGGTTACTCCTCAGGTCTAGACTCCTCAGGAATAGCTGCTCCTGAATGGTTGTTTCCTTCTCTGGAAACAGTGTCACTTCCCATGTGCGGAAGGGGGATTATTGGTCCCATTTTATAAGTAAAAGCGAGCAGAGACGTGACTAAGATCACCGGTTGAGGAATAGTGAAACTGGGACTCATCTCCTCGCTCCAGGCTCATCACTTCTCCCACTGCGCCCTCTCTGACCTTTAAACATTGCTCCAACAACTGTTTGCTCGGATTGGCGGGGCTAAGGCTCCTCAGGCCACCTGCTAGCCCTCCTCACTTGCTCAGCCTCATTTCCCCGGTCTCCCCTTTGGGAACAACCTGCTTCAGCAGCAGTTCTGTCTGCCCTGCTCACCCTCAATCATTTCTTCCACATGCCATTTCCTCAGTCTGTACCTACCCCATCGTTTCTCTTGGCGCCAATACCGGGCACACAGGTGGCAGCCTTCCATGGCCAGAACGCCTTCTAGGCTCAGCTGCACCTGCCTGGGCTCACACCCTCACTCGTCAGCCCCTCGGACTCAGAGTGGCACTGCCCTACCTTGCACTTGACGACAGGCAGCTCGGAAAGAGGGTTCTTCGGGAGTTGGTGCAGCTGTGACCTTGGTTCTCCCGGCAAGACCAAAAGCTCCTTGAGGGCAGGGGCTGGGTCCTCCAGTTCTCTGGTCTCCCCAAGACAGGGCTCTGCCCACAGTGGGCGATCAAAGCTGCTGAGTGCCTGACGGGGGGATGGACTGGATGACCTATGAGGTTGCACTCAGCCCCCTCACTGCTACACAACCATGGCACCTGCTTCAGCCACTTGGCAGTTCTTGCTCCCCCAACAAGCCATGCCCTGTTGTGCCTCAGCTTTTGCACGTGCTTCTTTCTGGAATGCCATTCTCCTCCTTCTCTACCTGGAAAACTATTACTCTTTCAGTTTATCTGTCACCTCCTCTGTGAGGCGCTCCCTGCCAAAGCCCCCAAACCGAATTAACAGCTCCCTGTTGATTTGTTCAGCAAACATTCACTGGGAGCCACCTATGCTGCACGGGCCTCAGGGAAACAGATTAGTCAGATCGTCCTACCCTCAAGGAGCTCACGGTCTAGGTCAGCGGTTCTCAACCTGTGGGTCACGACCCCTTTGGCGGTCGAACGACCCTTTCACAGGGGTCGCCTAAGACCATCCTGCAGATCAGATATTTACATTACGATTCATAACAGTAGCAACATTACAGTTATGAAGTAGCAACGACAATAATTTTATGGTTGGGTCACATGAGGAACTGTATTTAAAGGGCCAAAAGGTTGAGAACCACTGGTCTAGGGGAAGACCAAAGAGTAAAAAGACCAGTTGACCAGAGTGTGACATGCTACGATGGAGAGAGGCTGTGGGAGAACAGAGAAAGCCAGGGAGTTTCCTGGAAGAGGGACTCCTGAGCGTCCACCATGGCGCCTGGCACACAGCTGTGCAACAGGAAGTGAGGTCTCTAACTCCCGCCCACTCCTTGGGAGCAAGTGCATTCTCACTCGGCAGAAAGACAGGCACTTGGTGTCTTTACTTCCAGGGGAAGCCTGCTACCTACTACCCCAGCTACTTGCCCCAATATCTCCGTGTCCCCAGGGCCTAGAACAGTGCCTGGCACATGGTAGGTTCTTGATAAATGTTTAAAGGAAAGGAGAGAGGGAGGGAGGGAGAGAGGAAGGAAGGAAAGGAGGAAGGAAGGAAGGAAGGAAGGAAGGAAGGAAGGAAATTAGAGGTCATGGTGTGAAGAAAACAAACAGGATCATGACAGATGATTAATTTGTGCCTCCACATCCTTACCTGGCAAATTAAGGGAAATGGTAGAACCTGCCTCTCAAAGCTATTTTCAGGATTAAGTTAGATGAGGCATGCATGGTACTTAGAACAGTGCCTGGCACATTAGTTGAACATTTTATCAGTATTATTAGTGGTTAATAGCTTTGTGGTATGATAGGTGGGGAAGGCCCATTTCAATTAGGGCAGTCACAGAGGGCCTCCTGGAGGAGAAGGCTTTTAATCTGAAATTTTTTTTTTTTAATATATTTTATTGATTTTTTACAGAGAGGAAGGGAGGGGGATAGAGAGTTAGAAACATCGATGAGAGAAACATCGGTCAGCTGCCTCCTGCACACCTCCTACTGGGGATGTGCCCGCAACCAAGGTACATGCCCTTGACCAGGATTGAACCTGGGACCCTTCAGTCCGCAGGCCAACGATCTAGCCACTGAGCTATACCGGTCAGGGCTCCAGCATAATCTTTATGGATTAACAAGACAACTCTAAAGTTCATCACAAAGAGAAATTAAATAAAAAATAGCTAGGAAACAGATGTAATATTTTCAACAATAAAGATTAAATTAAAAAGTAGCTAGCTAGGAAAATGTTGCGAGAATAATAATGCCCTACTAGATATTAAGGCAGAGCACGAAGTTGTGCTTCTAGTTTGTAGGATTAGACAGAACTGGTGGGGAGAATAAAGCCTAGAAGCACATCACAGTCTGCACAGGCACGTAGTTTACAATAAAGGTGATCATTCAAGTCAGAAGGAAAAGATGAACCACTCAGTCATGGTCTTGGGAAAACCAGACAGGGATGTAGGAAAAATAAGTTAAATCTCTACCTCACACCAGACTCTAAAATAAGTTCCAAATGTATTAATATCTAAATACCAAAATATGTTTAAAGTAGCAGAAAAATATGTAGAGAGCTATTTTAATAATTTAGAGTGAGGCAAACCTTCCTAAGCAAGACCCAGAAATCATACACAAAAGACTAACATCTGATGCTTAAAATTTTTTAAATTTATGCATGGTAAAAGACACCACAAACAAACCTCAAGTGGCATGATGTTCACTGTCATTTGTAACATGTTTAACATTCACTACGTATAAACATTTCTATGAATAAGAATAAGACGTAGAACCAACAGGAAAATTAAAAAAGACCATGAATAGGCAATTCATTACGGATGAAATGTAAACGGCCAATAAGCTTATGGGATGGGAGAACATCAGGGAAAGAATATTCATCTTTCAGCCCTCAGATGAGTGGAAGTTTAACACGTTGATTGTATCAGAGTGGGTTACTGTCAAGAAGACAGCACACACATGCCTCTGCACAGCCCGGGATGCAGGAAGGGTGAATTTCTCTTCCATTAAAGCCAGAGGTCCTCAAACTTTTTAAACAGGGGCCAGTTCACTGTCCCTCAGACATTCCACACACGCGCACTGCGGGCCCGGGACGAGTCGGCTGCTAAGCAGGACAGGCAGCGGTGGCAAAAACACCCGGTGGGCCGGATAAATGTTTTCGGCGGGCCAGATACATGTTTTCAGCGGGCCGGATACATGTTTTTGGCGGGCCAGATAAATGTCTTCGGCGGGCCGCATAAATGTTTTCGGCGGGCCGCATAAATGTTTTGGCACCACATTAAAACTCTCTTAAGCAAATGAACAATGAAAAGCTCTCAAGATCCAGCTGAAGAGCCTCACCAGCGACCCGCTCCTGGCCCACAAGATGAGGCGCGAGTAGCCTCAACACCATCCTACGGCTGAACCCATTCAAGGCCAATTCAAATGCCATCTTCTCCAGAAGCGCCATCCCTCTCCCCCACTGGCACCATGCCTCAGTTACAGCACATTTTTAATACCGCGTGTGTAACCACTCTTTAATGACTAAGTCTGATTAAGGACTGAAAGCTCTTAAAGTCTCTTTTTCTTCCTTGGATCCTTGGCCCTTGGCACAGACCCTTGCTCGGTATAGAATTTTTTAAAGCATTCACTCCCTAATTCACTACCAAATTGGGGTTCCCAGGTTAAGGGGGCCAAGTCCTTGAGGTACTACTCATGGGCAATAAGAGATAAACCTATGAACGGACAGTCCCAACCTGAAGATCCTGCTGAGAGATGACACAGGTATGAGAGACAGGATGCACAGGATACTCCGTGATCACCGCGGTGGGAGGGAATGAATCAACCCCTGGGTTCTTTGTGAGATCTAACAAAATGTTACATATTCTGGCCATACTGAACTCCTACTTCCTGAACCAGGAACTTCATTCCTGGTTCAGCTCATGGTTTCTTCACTGCTTGGGTTGCTCTTGATCCTTCTTCACTTGGCTGACTCAGTTCACATATAACTTCCACTAGGAAACCTTCCCTGCCTGCTCCTCTTCTCTCCCAGTTCTAAGTTAAATGCTTCCTTGGCACTTCTCCTGAACCACATATGGCTTAATTATAGGACTTACCATGTCATAATCAAATTATCTGTGTTAAGTGTGTCTCTCCAACAAGATTATAAACTTGGAGGGCAGGAACCATGTGTTATCCACTTTCAACCACCTTCCCTCCCCTTGTCAGAGTCTGGTACATTGTAGCTGCTCGCTCAATGTTTGTTGAAAACCAAACAGAAAGAAAGCAAGATGGCACGATTAAAGCAATGGCAAGCATCTCTCCTCATTAATTCAATACATATTTTATTTCCTACTGTGTGCCAGACACTGCTGGGAGCTGGGGAGAGGGGCGAGCATGAGAGGTGCCACCCCTGTCCCACGGCGCCTACAGTGCAGCTCCCATGGTTGGATGCAGAGTGTGAATGAGAGGGGAGTGGGGGATGCATCTGGGTGGTTGCCTGGGGTTACGTCCTAAAGGGCCTTGTGGTGCCAAACTAAGAAACCAAATTAAACCAGGACTGGGAGATGGGCAGGAAGGCTGCCAGGGCAGAAAAAGGTCAAGGGGCAGGTCAGCATGCTAAGCACTCTGTCCTTTTAAGTGCTTGCTAAGTGCGCTTTTCCCCAGACCCCGGGCAAGGTCTCTCTTTTCTCCCAGTGACCTGGGGCCATACTCACCCATGGGCACAATGGTCCCAATGACAGCAGCAGTGACCGTGGAACCCGTGTTGCCGCCTTCGTTCCCGTCTGTAAAACACAAACATTTGCAGGATGGCGTCTCTCCTTTCCAGCGGTCCTTCGGCCCATCGGCACTATCATTCGTTTTGAAGACGTAATTGAGTGGGACACAGTATCACGCAGTGGGATCAAGAGCACAGGCCCCTGGGTCAGACTTCGTGGGTTCAAGTCTACCTCTACTACTCACTATTTGTGTGACCAGGGCAAGTTATTATATATCATAAATGTATTTGTCTTTAAAGTGGGGATAATATTACCTACCTCCTAGGGATACTGTACAGACTACATGAGATAATTCATGTCAAATGCTTGCTTAGCACAGTGCCTGGCACAGCCCTGCCTAGTTCAAGGACGGCAGGGAGTGGGGGAGGGGTTGCTGTAAAGCCTAAATAAAATAGGGTGTAGAGAAGCACATTCCGAACGGAAAAGTGCTTGGAAAGTGAGCTGTAGCTGTTAAGAAGGCTGTTGTGTCATCTTTTCCACTCTTACAGCCATCTTCATTGTAACGTGTGTAATGCACTTTGTAGTCTGGAAGGCATTCCTCCCTGGGGCCCTCATGATGCCCTCTGAGCGGGAAGAGAAGCTATCATCATCTGCTTTTGCTCCAAGAGAGATGATCGGCCCCTGACAGTGGCCCAGGTGCCACCCTCTCAGTGTGTGTGTTTCTCCGAGCTGCTCTGCGGGAGCCTGATATTAAGGGGAGAGAAGAGCTGCACTGCTTACACAGCTACGGTGGCCATGTGGCTGGCCTCTCCCGGGGGCCCCAGCAAACACTGCACAGCAATCGTGAAGCCAAGAGCAGGGCGAAGCCAGCGGGGACTCCTGCTCAGAGGCTTCGCCAGGCTGAGGAGCTGGAATTCACACACAGTCCACCTGCCCCTCACACCTGCAGGTACGTGCTCAGCTCTGCAACTCCCGCTTCTGCTGGGGACAGACCCCACCAGCAAGGCACTGCCGAGCGAGCGGCCGGGTTTCTGGGCCTCGCGTGTACAGGAAAGTGTATCCTCTTAGATCACTCCCGTCGGCAGGTAACTCAATTAGCAAGGCGTTTGCTGGTTAATGAGATGGAACTTTTCTGGCAGCGATAATTCCTGCTCCTGAGGATTTAATTGGTGGGGGAACTGAATGACTTTCATCGCGGGGTTTGGGAAGAGGCACAAGCAGACTGGTTGTGGGTATCACTATCTGAGGGACCGACTGAGGGCGTTGAGAACTGAGACCAGAACTTTTGAAGTTTCCAAATCTAAGGGGCACCCCCTCCTATACATGTCAGTACACGTGACACAGACACCTCCCAGAGCAGCAGAGGCTGTGAGTGTGAGCACTTCTATTACACTGTCTCCTTTGCCTCTCATGCAATCTTGTGAAGCAGGTAGGAGAAGGGCTGCTATTATCCTACTTTGTAGGTGAGGAGACTGAGGCTCAGAGATGGGAAGTAGCTTCCTCTAAGACCCTCTGTAAGTTAGGGGCACCTAAGACTCCTAAATCACAGGTGCGCAACCCCACTCAGAGATACGCACTATTCAGCTCTGGTCTGACCTCCCCTTCCCACATATGCCCCCGCCGTGGCTTCCCATACAAAGAGAGAAGGCAGAAGTCATTTCCTCACAGTGCTGGGAGTGGTTGCTGGTTGCAGGGCTTGGGGTAGACGGGCCGATGCTGGAAGCCCTGGGAACAGTGACTGAGCTTGGGGCTGCAGCTGCCAGGCGCGGCATCTCTGTGCTGTGGTTCTGGTGGGTGGGGCTGTGGATGGCGGTCCCAGGCCCTCTCGCAGAGTCAGCTTCCGTCCTCACTGTGGTAGAGGCTAACGCTGTAGTTGAGGTAGATTGAGGAGCTGGAGGGGAAACAGCATGGAGGTCACGTGGACAGAGAATTTTATTGACTTAGTGCCTACGCTATTGCCTCTGTGGACTTTACTTATGAACGTATCCTCACGGCTCAGCTCAGGGCCACTTCTGGGAAGCCGTCCCTAACCCCCCGAATGGGCTGTGATCTTCCCTTCGGCTGAACCCCAACCTCTGTGTCTGTGTTTATACCGCATGCTGGTTTGAGAAAGATGAGCTATTGCAGCAATGCTGAGAATTAGGTGTGGGCAAGACCACTGCCAAAGTCTGGGAGGACGGAAAATCATGTAAACCTAGAAGGATTTTACACGCATGCTGTTACACCTTTAGGGTTAAATTCTCACTCCGCTTTAAACAATTGCATCTGGAAATCATAAATGATACAGTGGACTTTTGCTCAAACCAAAGGCCTTGGGCCTGCACCAAGACTTGGGAATGAGTAGAAATTTATATGGTTGAAGTATGAACTATTAGTCCCAATCATGTCACAAAGGGCTCCTATGTAATATGTTAAGTTCTGGGCAAGAAACAGGCAAACTCATAGTCACCTGCATATAAACAATGATAATGCCACGGGGATAAAGGTGGTTTTGTTTTTAATTTATTGACTTTAGAGAGAGAGGAACGGAGAGAGCGAGAGAGAAACACGGAGTTGTTGTTCCACATATTTATGCATTCATTAGCTATTTCTTGTATGTGCCCTGACCAGAGATCGAACCCGCAACCTTGGCATATTGGGGTGATACTCTAACCAACTGAGCTACCCAGCCAGGGCCAATCAAGGGTTCTTAATTTGAAGTCTTAAAGGGGTTCCTGAAAGTCCTGGGGGCCAGTGAGAAGAGGAAAGTCTTAGAAGGACCCTGGGGACACCAGCATTGAAGGAAGGTGAAACAGAGGAGCCCGTGAAAGCCACAGGAAGCCAGAGCAGATGGAGGGAGCCCAGGAGCCGGGGGAGGAAGGCAGCAGGAAGAGGTCTGGCATGGCCAGGCCACCCCTCCTGGCAGGTCCGCCTACCTCGGTAACACCTCTTCATGTCGGGGCCCAGCCACATGGTGTCGGGACAGGCGCACGTGTACTTGGGAGAGTGGCTGGAGAGCTGAGGAGCAGGCAGGCACAGGTACTCGCAGCCGCCGCTGGGCAGGGCACTCAGCTCGCAGGCATCTCCAGCTAGTGGGGGGCAGGGAGAGAGGCAGGCCCTTCCAGCACTGGCCCTGGGGCTGACCCCACGCCTTTGCTCATCCTGACAACAGCTCTCGGAGGTGGGCATTAGGCCCCAGACTGACAGACAGAAGAAGCTACGCTGACATGGAGAATATATTTGTCAAGGCTGTACCTCTAGGAATTGGGGAGACAGATTTAAACTGAGGTCTGCTGGACTCCAAAGTCCAAGTTTTCCCCCTATGCCACCAGCCATTTCTCTTTCCTTTTTAAATTTCAGATCAGGCACCCACCTTATCTCCTTATCCCCTATGACTTTTCACCTCCACCCTGGCAGCCAGCCCCTGTTAGTTAGACTTAGGATACCCCAGAGATAGAGGAGGTGACAGCAGGTGGTAGGATTCCGGCTTCTTTTCCAACCAACCACCTGCATTACAATCTGGCCCCAGGATTCACTAGTTTATACCGCTGTCAAATGGGCACACGTACTAAATGAGAAGCAACGTGCTCCTTGGGACAGAGGAGTTCTGGAACCTGAGCTAACAATATTTTACCTCTGAGCCCCCGCATCCTCAATTGTTAAATGAGAACAGGAACACCCACTTTGTAGGACTGGCAAAAAGAGGGCACTTACGTATTTATTTCTTTATGCCCAGGCTTATTTCACCGGGAGCCTGCTTGAGGCAAAAGGAAATAAAACACGTGACAGCTCAGCGCTCTACCAACCGAGGGGCTGCTGCCATTAATCCTGGGGTGCTGAGCTAGTACGTCGCCTGCGCCGAGTGGAGTGAGAGGCCATGGGCAGGGGACCTGGGCCAGGGAAGGCTCACCTCTCGGCTGCTTCAGCTCATGGAAGATGACGATGTCGTGCGGGTTATTGAGGTTCTCAGCCAGGACGGAGATTTCCAGGCCAGTGAGCCGATTTGCACTGAAAATGGCCTCGTTCTCCAGGTCTGTCCAGAACACCTTGTCCTGTGGGCACAAATGCAAAGGATGGGAGGCCTAGAGCCTAAACCCAGGACCTCAGTCTGAGGGTCCAGCCCCAGAGCCTGGTCATAAGAACTGCCCTGCCGTCTCCCGGAGCTCTCCTGTCCACCGGCTCACAGCGGGACGCGGCCGCTGACCTGTGGCATGTGCTCCGGCTCCCTCTGTCTGAGAGTGTCTTTGGGTGATTTTGTGCTTTGGCCTGGAGGCTGCTCGTTAGAGCTCGGCTAGGCCTGCTTCCTGGGTCTCTGTTAGTTGTTACCATTACTGGGGCCCAGGACCATGACTGGAGGGGATGTGTGAGCTACTGAGGACTAGTCCTGCTGGGCTGCCTACAGCCTCTGGGCATAGCACATACGGTGAATCGTACAAGCCTGGATGTGCATCCGTAGAGATGGCCACATGGACACGAACAAACATGTAGCCTCATGCACAGAACTGGACACATACCCACGTGCTCATCGACACACACAGAGGCACACTTGTACCTAAATAAGCACTTGTGTAAGTATCGGTACACATATTTACGTGCACAAGCACCAGCACATACCGGAACATGCTTTCTTTTCTTTCTTTTTTTTTTTTTAGCAAGAGAGGGACGGAGGGAGGGAGGGAGGGAGGTAGAGAGAAAGAGAGAGAGAACGTTGATCGAGCGATTGCTTCCTTACTGGGGACTGAACCCGCAACCAAGGTATGTGCCCTGACTGGGAATTGAACCCACAATCCACAATCTTCTGGCGCACGGGACAACGCTCCAACCAACTGAGCCACACCAGCCAGAGCAAGGAATGCATGCTTTTAAATGTATTCATGTACACACATGCACATACATGTATTTTACACGCACATGTCACAAATATGCACAAGCACATACATGTGTCCGAACACACCTGTCTTGAAGTAGGGGCTGGACTTCCCCATAAATTCAGAGCATTGCTGGGTGATGTCGCTCCAAGCAAATACTGCCAATGCCCACCACAGACCACTGTCCCTTTGCCTTCCCTCCCTCGGTGGCAGAGTTAGTTTTGGGGCAGAAGCAGATGTGTGAGACCTTGATTGGTTCGTGCTTCTTTGTTCCCCGAGGAGAAAGGTTATTAGGGTCAGAACAAAGGAGAGTCTTAACGCTCACCCTCCTGGGAGCTTCATGGACTGGGATAATGTTTGATTCACTTCTATGACCCCAAGGTCCAGAAAAGGTCAGTAGAAGATTGTTGAGTTGAACAGTATCTTTCAGGCCATTTCCAACAATAAATGATTGTAAGGAAATACAGATTCCTCCTCCCCTCCCTCCCATCCTCCTCCCTCCTCCCTCCCTCCCATAATTGGGTACCTTCTGTCTATGTGGGCTCAGTGCTGGGTGCTGAGAGTTCCCAGAGAAGACACATGTGGTCTAGCAACTTACCTCTGCGCTTGCTCTGGGAGCGGCCTTGGGAAGGGAGCACAGGAAAGGCAGCCTTTGCACGGAGGCCGCTCACAAAGACACAAACACGCCGGTTGGCCTCCCTGTCCCTTGTTCTGTCTGGACAGCCCTCAGGGAGCCACCCCATCTGAACAGACTTTCTCTGGGCTTGTTTCCTGTGGGCCATGCCTCCCTCACGGCACTCACCTCAAACACAGCCACCCCAAAAGGGTGGCCCAGGAAGTGGGGGGAGGAAATCAGCATCTTTCTGTGGCCGCCGCTGAAGTCGATGCTGGACAGCTGGTGCAGCTTGGAGTCGACCCAGTACAAGCGCTGGCTCAGCAGATCTTGGGGAGGAGAAAGGGGACAGGGGATCAGGCCACCAGCCTGGGACCACAGCCTGCGACTCTGCTCTTCTGCGCCCCTTCCCTGCCCACATCTCCAGGCCAGGCCTCCAACGGAGGCCGTCCTGGGGCAGCCAGAGGGACGCACGGGCCCTGGCACCGCGAGGGATGCAGGAACAAGACCCCTGGGGCTTGGTCAGGGCCAGGTGCTAGCACAGCCCCAATCTGAGGGCAGGGCTCACCCAGGGTGATTCCGTTGGGCCACTCGATATCGTCTGACACCAGTGTGTGCCGGTCCGCACCGTTGAGCCCAGACTTCTCAATCTTGGCCTGGTACCCCCAGTCAGACCAATACATGAACCTGAAAGAGAGAAGGACCCACAGGGCTTCTTGCCAGGGACGTGGTGAGGTGGTCTGGATCACAAGGGCCCGATGACCCGCCGAATGCTGAAGAGGACACGTCGTGAGGGCTGTTAAGCCTGAAACCCATGGGCACCATCAGGCTTGGCGTTAGCAGGTGCTTTAGCCTTCGCCTCACCCGAGTGACCCCGGCCTCTGCGGGGTGGCCTGGAAGCCATCTCTCCCGTCCAGCGCTTCAGCCAGAGCACTGCACGCCAGTGTGGGAGGGCCCTTGCCCACCCTCTCGTACTATTCCGGTCCACAGGGGAGAAAGTGGATGACTACCAGGGCCACACAGCTAGACTGCCCAGGGCTTCTCTCTCTCTCTTTCCCGAACATGTACTGAGGACTTCCCATGTGCCAGGCACGGGGCCGAGTGGTTGGTTGCACCTCATGTACCTACATCAGGACTATGGACGAAGTCAAAGGGAGAAAATCCTTTCTAATGGGCAGAACTGTCCCCAGATGAGAAGGGGACAGGGAATGATGAGCCTGCCTCTGGAGTGTGTGAGCAGCCACCAGGGGCCCACCTGCAGCGTGAGGACAGGCTCCCTGCCCGGGAGCGTCTACAGGCAAATCCCAGGCCCTGCTCTGTTCTGAGACGCTCTGTCGCTGATGCTATGATCGGATGAATGAGCAGCAGAGTCCTGGAGACTGAGGGGCCTGCACGGACTTTCCTCCCGTGGGCTGTGTCTAAGGCTCTCCGAAGCCCTCAAGGTAGCCCTGATGACAGATGCACGGGGGCTGAGTGACCGTGGCCTACGGCGGGAGAGCAGGAAGTCCCAGGTGAGGACACTCACCCTCGCAGGGGGTCGACGGCGATGGCCCGGGGCTCACTGAGGTCGTGGCTGAAAAGAGTGCGTCGGCGGCTGCCATCGACTGTGGCCACTGAGATGGTCTTGTTGCCCGAGTCGGTCCAGTAGATGTGCTTATGGACCCAGTCCACCGCCAGGCCCTCTGGAGAGTGCAGCTGCTCGTCGATGAGGACCTCCTGCTCTGCCGGGTCGCTGGCCTTGTCCATGTACGCGCTAGGAGCAACCAGAGCTGCCGTGGGGCAGGTGCTCTACCCACACGTCCCCCCGGAGCTGCCTGTGCGCCCTTCTCCCTCCTCTCCCCCCTCTGGGTGCTGGCAGTGGATTTCAGAGGAGTTTAGCTAATTTCTATTCAATGCGTTTCCTGGGCCACCAGGGTAAGCATATAGGTTTGAATCAGCCACAGCCTCCAGCCCGGAGAAGTTCATTTCAGTGGGCGACAGAAATCGACAGCCAGACCATCACAGTGCAATGTGATTCCATAAACCACTCGGGGCTGTGGCAGCAGAGAAACGGAGGCTGCATCATCCTGGGGGTTGCAGAAGGCTTTGTAGTTGAGTCCTGACGGACGGTGCTTTAGGAGCACAAACAGCATGCAAACGCCAGGGGTGTGTCCTGGAACGCTGAGTAAGGCGCGACATCCAGGGGAGGTGGAGCTGGGTAGTGGGATATGAGATGGGAGGTAGGTGGGAGGGGCCACATCCGGTGGGCTCTGCATGCCCCCTGAGGAGTGGGATTTTCTCACGGAGCACGTAACTGAACAGGTCAGGCGGGCACGTGAGATCACCATGGCACCTGTGGGCTATGAGATGGATTGGAAAGGGCGGAATGAAGGCAGGGAGACTAGGGGGGCTGTTTTCTGCGTCCAGGTGAGAGAGAGAGGGCCTGTGGGAGGCTGTGCCGTGAGAATGGAGAGAAGGGGCTGAAAACACAGTAGGTGCCCAGGAGGCAATATTAACAGGACTTTCTGTCTCCCAAATGCTGTTTCTCCCAAGGGGGTCTCCTCCCCCATAACCTCTCTGGGAGGTCAGTGCCCACTGCCACTCATAACTCTGACACTCCCATCCCGGCCACTCTCTGAAGCTCCAGACTGTAAAGCCAGCTGTCTCTCCCTTGGATGTCCAGACACCTTAAACTCCGTACATCAGGGCCCCTCACCTCCACTGCCCTCCCTCAGCCAGCCTGCTGGACGGCCCCAAACCCCTCCTCAGAGAACAGCACCACCCACAGCACCTCCCGAGCCAGAACCTGAAACTCCCAAAATGAACCTGGAAGTTCATCTGGCTCTTCCTCCTCAGCCCCGTTTCGTCTGTCACCAAATCCTGCCTCTTTCAGTGACAGCTGTTGGACAGGCAGCCGCTTCTGTGTGTGTGTGACCTGAGTGTGTCTCTGTGTTGGGGTGGTAGTCAGTGAGTTGTCAGTGAGTAGCATTTGGTATACAGTGGGGCCTTGACTTACGAGTGTCCCGTCTAACGAGTTTTTTGAGATACCAGCTGTCTCTCGGCCGATTTTTTTGCATTGAGTTGATAGAGTAATTTGAGTTAATGAGCTCCTTAACATGCTCGGTCTCGGAATGAATTAAACTCGTAAGTCAAGGCCCCACTGTATTTGTTTCTACCTACCCATCCATCTGTCCACCTGTCCATCTGCCCATCCATCCCGTCATTCTTTCAACACTCTCCCCAGTGCCTGGCCATGGGCAGGTCTGCTAAGTGGTTGGATCTCAGGACGAAGAAAGGCTATGGCTGCCCCAAGGGGCCAGGACATACGGGGAGGCAGGCTTGTGGTAGCCGAGG